GTAAAAAGTATTCATACTGTAACCGAAACACAACACCTAATCTGAACCCATTAAAATATCCTGTGAGAGCCTTTTGCATTTGTCCTACCCAAAGTATCTATCAAAGTTCAATAGATTTGTAACGCGATATAAGAGTGAAGTTAATGTTGGGATATAATCGTGTACAACTCAAGATATTCCCAAAAAACTCAACGAAAATCAGGACTCCTACCGACAACAACAACAATAATAATGTAAATATCATGACAAGCCAACAAGCTTTTCTAGAAAAACTAGTAAAGTTATTGAACATTACAGTTGAACTCTCTTCTTGTGAGGCATGAGAATGCGAGTTGAAAGTATTACTACAACTGCAAAGAAAACCTGCATTAGCAAGAGCCCGATTAAACTCTTCCGTTCTATGACTACGACTCATCAATTCTTCAACTTGCTCCGAAGATGTTGTAGTCGAGTTGACCTGTTGAAGAAAAACAACTTTCTTTTTGGTTTCACGATGGGCAAACATATGAAAGAGTGTCAATAATGGCCCATGAGCACCAATCACGAAAGCTTTCTGTAGACGTCCAGGATAGTGCTTTGTACATATTTTAACTGCATCCAAAAAGGATCCCATTTTGTTGTTTTCTATGGGTAAAACTGAACTGCTGTCTTCCTTCTTTTCAGGTTGTCTCTTTCTCCAGTCCAGAATCCAAACCCAACTTCCAGCATAAGCACCGTTTTCATCCAAGTAAGTATCCAACGTTTCCAAAATACAAGATAAAAATTCCAAGTCGAATTTGTCGCTATTGCAATGAATATAAACAACGGGATGTCCCTGTTGATCTTTTCCAATAAAACGAAAGTCGCCAATAGCAACATAGTAATGTAGCTTTTTAAGTAAATTAGCATTGTTGGGAAGCGAACATCTCCATTGCCAGGTTTCTACCAACTTCTCTGCTGCCTTTTGCGGGTCATTACAGGCCTCGAGATATCTTAAAACTCTTGCGTCACTAAGCCATTGATTATGAATGGAGAGTATGTTCTCTTTATGTTTCTTACAAGAGATCTTGGTTTCTACCTCTCGACCTTTTTCCATTTGCTTTGCGAGATATTGTTCTATGTGCATCAACACGGGATAGGTTCGAGGGTCCCTTTCATCAATCTTTCCAATCCTTTGCTTCACTTCCTTCTTTGTAGTTGCACCTAATTGTTGAAAATAAAGCAACAAGTATCGTAGAAAGCTCTTTCTAGAGAAAGGAGGAGTTGAATGACTCCATTTCTTGTTGGCGAGACCGAATGACAAGAGGGGAATAAGAGGAAAGAAAAGATACAATAGTAGTGACCACTGAAACAAAGGTTTCGTCTTTTTCAAGTCGTTCAAGTGACAACACAAGCAGTAGGACCTCTTCCTTGGTATAGATGGCCCACATATACGCAAAGAGGACGCGTTTTTCATGTTATTGGCTCGTTTGGGAGGTCGAAGATAATTTTCTCCCCATACATCCATGTTTTCTAGTCTTCACACAAGGTTTGTTTTCTATATTCAACTTTCTCTAATAATAGCAAGTATTCAAAGGTTGACTCTTTCCCCCAACAATTCTCTCCATAAAAGTAGTCAACTGACGTGGCCGATGTTAATGTGAGGTACGAGGAGATTGTCTTCTTTTGCCTTTTGAAATGCTCGCCTCTATAAAGGAGATTGTATCCTAATTGTATGGACTCATATGGCTTTTCTTTGTATAGTCTATATGATGGTTATCAAAGTAGTAGATTAAACCAGAATAGTTCATGAAATTGATTCTTCTATTTTATTTGGTATAAGTTAGTAAAAGAGACAAGAAACGCCCCCTCTTGATTCATTCTCATTGGATAGTTTTCTTTGTATGACTCGAATATGGGAAGGGGAGAATGAACTGGACGTTTATGAAGCAGCACAAGCTTTACAAAGTGGTAAACTCGTTGCATTTCCTACAGAAACAGTATATGGTCTTGGAGCCAATGCTTTAGACCAACAAGCAGTTCTTCGAGTGTTTAAAGCAAAAGGGCGACCACAGGACAACCCGTTGATCGTTCACATCGCAGCTTACAAGGTCTTCTGATAAAGTTTCCGTTATTTCTTAATTGATCGACGGAATAGGATTTGGATGACTTGGTGGAACAACCTTTACCTTCCTTTGTACAACTATTGATAGAAAAGTTTTGGCCCGGACCCTTATCACTCGTTCTGAAGTAAGTCCATTTGTTCACTACTCTAAACTTAATAATGAATATAAAAAAACGAGGTTAAAAGAGGATAGTCCAATAGCTCCAGCAGTCACAGGAGGACAAAACACAGTTGCCATTCGTATGCCAAGTCACCCTATTGCGCTTGCTTTACTTGCAGCTGCCAAAGTTCCAGTGGCAGCGCCTTCAGCCAATACCTCTGGAAAGCCAAGCCCTACCAGTTGCCTTCACGTCTTGAGTGATCTACAAGGCAAAATTGATGGAGTAGTAGATGGTGGCGAAACTTGTGGGATAGGTTTGGAGTCTAGTGTTTTAGATTGCTCTGGTGAACGATTGTCTATGTTAAGACCTGGTGCAATTACTGCAGAACAAGTGGAAGCAGTTACAAAATTGCCTGTAGTTATATTCAAATGGGAAGGAAATAATCAAAAGGAGGATATGAATACTCCTCGAGCACCTGGAATGAAGTAAGTCTTTTATCTTTTCAAGGATTTTGATCTTTCTTTACTTGTAGGTATCGACATTATGCTCCCAAAGCACCCATTGACTTGGTTAACGGCGGTTTAGAACAGCTTAAGCTAAGAGTAATGGAATGGAAACGACAAGGAAAAGTTGTTGGTTTGTTAGCTTTCAAAGAGTTTGGCCAACACATACAAGCTGACGTATTTATCTCTTGTGGTCAACAAAACTGTTTGGTGAGTATATATCAAAATATTATTTTCATTTATCACTTATACATTGGCTAAAGGAAAGTTATGCTCGACAGCTCTACAGAGCTTTGAGAGCATTTGATGATAATCCACTGACAGTTGATGTTATTGTCGTACAGGCCGTTGAGGAAACAGGAATCGGTGTAGCAATTATGAATAGACTTAGAAAAGCAGCATCTACAGGATTTTATATGGCTTCACCGAATGAACGTCTTGTGAATAACAATTGACTATGACGTTTCAATTAAAACAACTTGACCAGTTTTTCCCATCTGTCTCTTCACAAACTCTAAGCATTGTTATTTTTTTCCTCATCGTTGTTATCTTCCTCCTCCAACCGAACCAAGTTGTCGGGATCTCTCAAACAATATACGGGTACTTCATAGTAATTACCCAATTCATCGTAGCACGACTCTAAAGTTGCTTCTCTGTTTGCAGGTGTCAAACCAGCTGCCTTTACAATTTCGTTTCGCAAGGTATCCTATTCTTATCGTTGAGAAACACAAACCAATCAGTTGTTTTCTACTTACTTCAGTTGTTTCTGCTGCAGCTTTTAAAGCTTGCCACATTTCTTGGCGACCTTCTGTTCTAGTATCCCAAAATTCTTCTCTCATTCTTTTCAACTCCGTTTCTGTCAGTGGTCCAAAGGGAGGTTCTGCTTTCCAAGGTTTGGGAAGTTGTACAATTCCGTTCCAAGTAGAGCCAGTACTACCCTTTTTAGACTTGCCTTTGAACCATCCACCAACTATACCACGTGTTGTATGTTGGCCATCTGTTTCTTGAGTTGAACGACCCACAACAACACAGTTTCCCATGACACACAATTTTCAACTAACTGGATGGCATAGTCATCACATAACGCCATGCTGAATAAATACTCAATACAGTAGCCATCACACAAGTGATTTGACTAGTCAATAATAAACCAAATATAGGATATGTTCTATTCAACAAATATAAACTAATACTAATCATTTGTAAAGTAGTTTTGAGTTTTCCCCAAATACCAACAGAAACCTTTTTATCCTTATGATTCCTCTCTTCTTCTTCAACTTGCAAGTACATCAAC